GGTGGTGTGGTGGGTAAGACTCTGGACATTCCCACATGGCTGACCATGGTTCAAGTCCTGGGACTAGGGGCTTGCTTGCTCACTTTCTCTCTCTCTCTCTGGTCAAAATAAAATAAGTAAATTAATAAATAAAATTCAAAATAAATAATTCTTAACAAAAAAAAAAAAGCCCTTGACGAAAGAGTAAAACTATTAATTGGATCAAACCTCGGCCCTTGAGTAGGAGTCCTTTTTCCACCGTGTGTGATGAACGCAAGGGGCGTATGTATAAAGCGGGCCTCAGACAAGCCACAGTCGTTGTCTCCGGAAAAAACACACGTGAGGCGGTTCAAGCTGCGAGCGGACCTAGCCACCTTCCTGTGGAGCGCCGTTTTCACTTGGAAGAGGGACGACACGTGAACGCTGCTTCTTAAGGCTTGTATTTGGAGGAAATTCCTGAATAAGGACGGAGCCGATGCCCACTATTGGTCAGAAGGAGCTTCAGCCCCTGAAGAAAATAATACTGACCCGGACAAAGTGTAGGAAACATGGCCTTTGGCACTGGACAATAGGCAGCTCGGGAGAGTGAGCTCTGGGAGAAGGGACTCAAACAAGCGTCCCCGCTTACTGTCTGGAGACAGTGTCCAGGTAACAGTGCAGGAGGGGAACCCAAGCAGAGCCAGGGCCCCCTCAGGGCTGAGAAATCAGGTCAAGAATTTAGGGAGGCTGAAGGGGCTGGAACAGCCCGGGGAGAGCAGTGAGGGGATGGAACCGCGTGGAGGGAGGGAGATGGCTGCCCACTGCAGAGGGTACGCGGTTAGTGCTGGGCTGGGCCCAGGAGCCTGCGCAGGACTCTCCACCCCGTCGGAAGGGCCAAGGCTGCAGGGCCTGTGGGGGACTGAGGGCTCTTTGACCCCCTGACTCTCTACAGCCTTTTGTCTTTCACCCCCCACATCTCTTGCCTCTCAGGGCCCAGATTAACCACCAGGGCTGTGGCGCAGGAAAGGCAGGGGCATGGAGGAGGGTGTCCTGGGGAAGGAGTCTCCTCTGCCTGCATCTCACACCCCAAAGCAGTGCCTTCACCGGAAGCGGAAGTGGGCTGCCTGCACCTAGAACCAGGGTGGGTTAACCAAGCTCACGAGTAGAATCTTCCACTTTATGATCCAAGTGTGTCCTCGATTTGTAAAACTTACAGCAGAATTATTTTATGTAGGTTCCCCCACTCCCCGTAAGGGGACCTTCATGTTGCATAGGCTGCAGAGCTCACAAAACTTGATTCTCCTCTGGAAACAGGGTTTCCCACATCTGGATCCCACCTGGGGACGATGCAGCCACACCCTTAGTGTAACTCAGAGGGCAGAGTCCCACGAGGAACACTGGGCACATGCGCTCTGGTCCCCCCGCAGCAGGCCCCGGGCAGCTCTGGGAGCCCGGGTGAGCAGGGCTGCCGCAGTCCATCTTTACAGACCTTTTCGTCTAAGAGGGGAGAGAACAAAAGGAACCCAAGCGGTGACTTGACCGAATTTCACTGAAGCGTAAGGGCACTGAAGACATGGGGTGGTCTTGAACAAGGACAACAGAGTCCCCAAGCCCTCCTGGAGGCAGGGAGTCGGGGGCGCCCCTGTAGATGTGACATTTGAATGAGACCATGAACAAGGGCAGGGGCTGGTCAAAGAGTGTCAGACAAAGGGTGGATGCGGGCAGAACAGCACCCTGGGCAGGGGCTCCCCGGGAGAGGGAGGAGCGCAGGGTGAAGAATAGAGAAAGCGGACGTGAGTCGGGGGCAGAAGATGCTGGGTGCTTGCAGGGGTCGGTCTCACAGGCTGTTGCCAGCTGGGGTTCAGCATGTGAGTGTGTGTGTGCGTGCGTGTGCGTGCGTGTGTGTCTTCAGACAGGGTCTTGCCGTGTTGCGATCCTTCTGCCGCAGCCTCCCAAGCAGCTGGGACTGGACGTGCCACCCCGCCCAACTTTAAGATTTTGACTTCTCAAGGTTTTCTTTTTATTGTAGAAAGACCCAAGGCTGGGACTAGACTGCTTTGGCAGAGTTTCCACCCAAATCATAGGCTTGCTTTATGATTCTTTGTAATTTTGCTCACATCAAAGTCAGAATTGCCTGCATCTGGACAATCCAGGCCAATCAGACACCGTCCAACAACAGCACACGGCTTCCTTCCCTCGACACCCACCCCAGAGCTCCGCCAGAGCTGGTCCTGATAGGAGAGCCAGCGGCAGTCAGGCGCACAGCTGGAGTGGTGGGGGGGCAGCCACTGAGGTCACCGGATGGCCATGCTCCGAGGGACCTGCCCATGAAGCTCTCTAGGTGGGGGCAGCCGCCTGTAAGACCTCTGGTAACTTCCAGGGCCTTCAGGCCCAGTCTCGACATCCCCTCCTGAAAGAAGCACTCCCTGTGCAGTTGGCCAGGCTCAAGCACGGGCCCTGGGCCTAGCTCTGGGAAGGAAGCGTGCAGCAGGGGCAGGTGGGACACTGCACATGCGGACCCTGCCTGCTCCGTGCCCAGACTGTGCTGCTGGACGCTGGTGGCGATGGCATCCGTCCAGGTCTCCCTGCTCCTGGGATCGCGTATCGCCCCCTCTCAGCATCCCCCCAACTCTCAAGGGACTTGCCCTCTCTCCTCTCACTGTCCCTCTCCAGAGAGGTCCCTTACCATTTCCACTAGTGATCAATCCCGCCTTCCCCGTTCTGCCCACTTCTGCTCAGACAGCCTCCAAGCTAGCGAGGACAAGAACCCCTTTCCAGAGTTCTCAGTTTTGGAAGCTTTCGATGCTCGAGATGAGGAGGGAAGAGAAGGGCGGGCCAGGGACTTGTGAGACCAGGTCATCACCAGCCTGCCGCGTCCAGGCTCCCCCTGCAGTCTGGCTCCAGTGCCCACTTCAGACCAGAGAGCTAAGTGACAGCGGAAAGCAAAGGGACAGCACCCTCCCCCTGGGAGGGGAGGCAGGCAGCCTCCCTTTGCCAGGGCGCAGGCTGGCTGCAGCCACCAGAGGACTGTCCCCCTTCTGTGTGGCCTCTGCTGAGAGCCTCGGGACATCAGTCAAGGCCAAGAGCACTGCTTGGGCAGAAAACCCAGGACCGATTCTTTCTCCTCTGGGGATGAGTAGTAATGACTTACGTCCTTCCATGGCCTACAGATGGGGGAACAGGGTGGCCCAGTGGTAACGGCTGTCTCCCTGCTGCAAGGGCCCAACTCCCTCGGCCCTCCCCTCAGTCTAGAAACCCTCGTTGTCTGTTACTCCGGTTGGTTTCCTCTCTCATTCTCTCCTTTCTTCCTTCCTTCCTCCCTCCTTTCTTCTTTCCACTTTCTTTCACTCTTTTCATGGAAAGGGTAGACTTCAAAATATTCTTTGACCTCACAGTCAATGTTTACACAGAAGACTCAACTGAGATTGTTCATAAAAAGAGGATCCCCCTCTCTCTAGATGAATCAAATCAGAATCTCTGGAGTAGGGTTGGGCATCAGTATTTTTTGGAAAAGTCCTCGCAAGAAGAGAGCCAGTGTTGAGAACCAAGAGAATGGGGGGAGGGGGCACCTAAGCACTCCTGGGGAGTCTAAGAACTGCAGGTGAACTCCTGGAGCTGAGGACGGAGCCTGGACGCAGCAGGTGGCTGTGTGTTACTTGGCAAAAGAGGCTGGCAGTGTGCAGGGGTCTGAGTGCAGCTCAGAAGACCAAGCGGATCAGGCAGCTTTAGCCTCTCCCCCACCCCCAGTATCCCACCTCCAGAAGGCAGAGGCTGCCCCGGAAGTGAGCAGGGAGGCCAGAAAGGCTGAGACTGAGCTCAGCCACAACTCCAGCTGGGTTCCAAAACTCAGGGCATTTTGGCAAGTTATTAATCTCTAGTAAGCAAACCATTCATCTCAATTAACTTGTTTGCTTAATTAGGCCAAAAAAAGAGGTAAGCCCATTGAGATGAAAACTGCTCCTGGGGCACAGACAGGCTGTGGTGGTCTTTGCAAACCACTAGGAGTCAGGGGGTCTGAGTTCAGGTTGCTTTTTTGCCAAGACCTGCGCCAAATGTAGGATTTCACATCACTAAACGGGGTTGACGGATGAGCTGGGCCAGTTACAGAGCGTTTGTTATGTATATGATGGTGTTCAAAGACTTAGAAAGAAGCAAAACAGATTCAAACTTAAAACCATACTGAATGGTCTATCATTTCCCTTTGCTACAAATTGCATTTCAGACTGTGCTCTGTCATTAGTTTTGCATTATGAATATTGATTAGAACTGCATGGCAGTGTAAATGGTAATGACACTAAATAATCTGTTATTAAATAAATAGGAAGTAGGGCGCTGGACTCCCAGATGGCCGAACACAGTTCGAGTCCCAGACCTGGCGACCTGCTTTCTCACTTCCCTCTCTCTCTCTTTTTCACTCTGTCCCTGTCTGGTCGAATTTTAAAAATAAATAAAGTTAAATAAAGTAATTCTTTAAAAAAATAGAATTGTTTCTAAGATTCTGAGCTGGGGTACCAGTGGTTCACTTTATTGTTTTATATTAATGTACGTCCATTGTAGCAAGTTGAAAGGATGTCAGAAATCGGAAGGGAGTCAATCTGAGATGGTTATTATAATGGTTATAGTGATGGTTTTCTTTTTTAATGTAGACATAGCATAGCTCTCAAAGATGAAATCTCTGCTGTGAACATCAGTGGGGCTGGGGGAGTTGATCTGGATGAGTGTGAGGATCCGTGGCAGATTCTGTTGGCGGTGTGCCCATATCCTCTGTTCTGTGG